GTGACAAGCACTATGCACAGAAAAGCTGTTAGAGAGCATGGCTTTGCAGCCCCCCTGCGCAGATGCTCCCCAAAAGTGCATTAGTGCTACAGAAGCTCATGGGATGCTCAGGTTTCAGAATGGAGGGGTCAGGTTCAAATCCTGCTGGGCATACAAGTGTCTGCTTCAGACAGGCTGGTTTGGGCAGCTCAGAAGCAGGCAGGCCCTGCCCCCCCCCAGCCACTGCTCCTGGCATTTCTTGATCCTGAGGAAAGCTGAGCCCCAGCAGCAGGAAGAGCTGGACATGGGGCAGCCTCTGCCAAGGGCTGAGCTGCAGCCCAAAGAGAAGGACCCACTGAGGCAGTAAGTGATGATAGCGCAACATCCTAAAACAAGAAAGTGAGTGTCACCTAAAGGCCATGGGGCAGATTCAGAACCTCCCATTTCAGACCAAGTTGTTCATTATATTTTATTATGTAATTAGAGTGCAGGCCCCAAAACTTGTGGCGCATTAGGAAAAGAGAAGCCAGTAAACACCCAGCGCTGCATGTACCACACTTGCAAGCCAGAGACACTCTGTCTTTATTGCTTTACTGGCCCCGAGGTATTTTCTATAAGGTGTGTTCTAGCTCTAAGGTTCAGTGAACATTTTCCAAAATCATCCCCTTCTTGACAACAATCCCCCAAAATTGCCCAGTGGGATCCACAGCACAGACTGCAATGATCCCAGGGGATGCCCTGGACCCACAGCACAATTCCTATTGATTCAGCTAAAGAACACAGGAAAACCTTGTCTCTCAGACCCTGCTGATGGACACCTGTCGTTCCATCTGTCTGCCTCATCCTTCCACCTCAGGGCCCAGACATTTGCAGCACATTTTGGAGCCTCTCTCTGGGTGGTTTGATTAGTTATGATCAGAACACGAGGTCTCAGCCAGACCCTACCTAGCAACTGGGAGCTCAAAGGGTCTTTCCTCCAAGACCCTCAGTGCAACTTAATGCTGCTGTGTGCATCACGTGCCCACCACGAGTTGCACCATCTCCTGAGCCCAAGGGCTGGGTCTTCTTCAGGGCAACACAGAAAGCACCATTGCTGCTAAGTATTTCAGAAGACATAGTTTCAGAGTGACTCAATAGATATTTTTAAGTATTGGGAAGAAAAGCATTGAGATCTGACCTCACTGAGGGAGAGGCAGTTCACACATGCAGGCCCAAGCTCAGCACACACGCACTTGTTAACCTAAAGCAATTCCTAGTGCTGCTGCAGGCTCTGCTGGGGAGAAGCTGTAGCCCAACAGCCCTAAAGCCTGTCCAGCCATGCCTATGCTGCAGACACCAAAGCTAGACTTTAAGTGAAGCTGATCTAGCCTTTTTTCCCATACTGAAATCTGTGCCCAATACCAGTGTGCTCTGCCCAGTGCTGAGGAGCTGAACACTTGCATTTCAGCAGCAGGTCCCTTTCCTACAGCCATCTCCCGGTCCCTGTGCTCGGTCAGACAATGCAGGGTCTGCTCTCCTCGCCTCCACCACCAGTCAGTGCTTGTAACCCACCGGGCACAGTGCACGCTCCTGCACAACAGGCATCAATTGTGGCCAAAAAGTCTCCAAAGCCCTATTAACAAAGACATTAATTGTCATTAGAAAAGACCTCAGCTGAAAGCACACTGCATGGCCTCCAGTGCCAGGCCTGCTGCCCATGCTGCCAAGAGGAAAGATGCTGATCTGTTTCCAATTTGCTTTTTGGAGCTCATCAGTCGTTCTACATCGCGGAGCAATTTTCCTTTTAAGGTGGAACAGCATGAGGTTTGTTTTCTTTCAAAGAGATTTCTTTAAGAGGTTATTTATAGATCCTCTTGTGGATGTGACTGTGCTTTGCATCCCACGCACTGCTGTGATGTGGGATGAAATGTTCTTGTGGGGCCGTTAATTAACACGGACTCAGGAGCTGTGTCAGAGCGTGGCTCCAGGTAGTCCAATATTCCCCATCTATCCAACTACTGGTACTGCTAACTTCCCAGCCACGGGGCATTTTGTGTTTGCCATTTTTATCCCATCAGGTCAATTAGCTGGGTTGTCTGAAGGCAGAAGTAGTACTTATGGTAAGAAGCATTAAAAGAAGGAGCTGCCCTCCTGCCCCGTGCTCCCTCTTGCCTGTTCTTTCTCTACATGCAGCAGTCCCAGCTTTTTTCCAGGTTATGCTCCACAATGACATTTTTCCTTGCCATAACTCACTAGCGTCATCCACCTCCAGACGCCTCTCACTTCCGCCCCATTTGAGGCGGTTACTGGGAAGCAGGGACGCAGCTTTCCTTGGGACCTCCCCAATCCTCAGGCATTTTAACGTTTTGTTTCTCTTTCCACAAACTGAGAAGCCCTTTTTCAACTGTCCGCATTAATACTGGCTGGTGATTTCTCTCTCACAAGGCCATTAAACTGACACCTCTCACCAGCAGCAAGTAAACTTAGGTATAAGGAAAGCAAAAGAGCACTGATGAACAAAATGGCTTAAGAGCCAAATCCAGCCTGGAGATCTGTTCTGCATTTCCCACTCCTCTGCATGTTCTTAATTATACATATCACAGAACTGAGGGCTCCCACTCAACATTAGTATGTAGCACACTGCTCACTGGATGTGGAGCACGTAATATGCATTTCCAACCCCTTCAGCAGCCAATACCAGGATGAGAGCACTAAGGCCAACATGAAATTTATACAATACCTTAAGCATCTTATTTCCAGTGCAGGAGTTAAACATAACACTGCTGGGGAGATGCTAAAGCCTCCCAGTGTTTGACATAATGCCAAGCAGGACCCTTCCTGACCAAAAGACCAACAGACTGAAAGGCAGAGATGTCCCAGCTCATCTTCTGTTTCATCTCTGTTTAACTCCAAATTTACTTCAGCACCAAAGCTTGAAGAAATATGTGAAAGGCAGTTTTCTTGCCTTTCAATCATTGCTTATATTCTGTATTTCATTAGCAGGACTTCAGGATGTCCCTTCCTACCCAAATCATTCTATGATTGTATATGATAAGAAAGCCCATGAAAACTTGTGATTCTTGTAAAATACTTAACCCCCTATTATCAGAGGTAGATGTAATAAGGGAAAGAACTAAAATGCATAGGACTCTTTTCCATCAAAAAAGAGCGCACACCTCTTAGCTCTAGGGTAGGAGTTATATCAAAGTGATACATGGCTAATTCCTTTTAAAAAAAGAAAATCCTTTGGCTTCAGCTTGATCTCTCCTAATGAAAAAGCTGTTATGCAAACAGTGACCCAGCCACAGATTTGTATGGGACAGTTTTAGGCTTCGTGTCTCATTTCTCCAAGGGATACTCCAGCTACAGAAGCTGAAAAAGAAATTGGGCCAGGGGATGCCTTTCATCACCCCACCAGCTTGTTTCCATATTCATACAGCTGGAGAAGAGCCTGACTCCATCAGCCCATGGTCAATACTCATCAGGGAGCACCGGCCCTGGGGAGCTGGTGACTGTGGCCATAACCTCCCTCACCAGCAAAGCAAAGGGAGGAGAAAATCCTCAGCCCAGGCATGGGGAAGTCTTTTGTTCTGGGGAGGGGATGGCAGGAGCACCTTTACCCATGGGTAGTCAGAAACTGATACTGTATAGGGGAAAATCTTTTTTTTTTTTTTTTTTTTTTACTATATCTGTAGCCACGTGCAGAACCTGAATTCTATTTTAAATGCTTCTAATACCCAGAGTCTCAGGTGGATCGTGCATGAAGATGGGCTATCATTAATCAGTCTGATTTTGAGCATCTTCTCTAAGCTTCTGATGCATCTGAGCAATATTTCAAGATGCAGTGGAGCTACTCAGGAGATGCACATGGAGCACAACTATATGCAAACTGCTCCATGCTCAGACATCCAGAGGGATATTTTACTGTATAATATCTGCTCTGTATCATTAGCCTGTTCATGGGAATAGCTTTATTCCAGAAATTATTTTCTATCACTATTTCCCTATGCAGGAGTGGAGCGAGACAAGCCCAGGAGACTCAGCCTCCCACTGTGAATGAAGGTTCCAAAAAAGCCCTTGGCATTCGCTATACTTCAAGCAGTGGCTCACTTTGCAGAGGCAGGAGACCAGCATTGGCCAGGGTTTTAGCAGTTACCTGTCTTTCCAAGGTGAATGGTAGTAACAAACAGATGGAGCTATTGCCCCCCACCCAGAGAGGCAGCTCAGCACAGTGAGAGGCTGAAAACTCACCGATGGGACCGGTCACCACTGCAGGGGCAGCTGCACCCCAAAACCAAGCCAGACTTGCTGGATGATTCAGCTCAGGTTGCGCAGTGCTGTGCAGATGAGCTGTGACAAACAGGACTAGCGAAGAGGCCCAATGTCCACTGCCAGGCAAAATACACTAAGAACTGCCTTGGCCCAAAGCCTCCATAAGCCTGTCTTTTAAATCACAGAATGGTTTGGGTTGAAAGGGACCTTAAAGCTCATCCAGTTCTAACCCTTTGCCACAGGCAGGGACCCCTTCCACTAGAGCAGGTCGTTCAAAGCCCCATCCAACCTAGACTTGAACACTGCCAGGGATGGGGCACAAACTCAGGCCTGCACCATGCTATAGGTTTTGTGCTTGATAAGAAACTGCAGCTACAGAGCTCACTGACGATGTTTTACACCAAAACTCTTTGTCCTCTTCCACTCCACTAGTGCCAAGCAGATGCTTTCTGCACCTCTCCACCATCACTACTTCTGTCTGGGAGGAAAGGAGGCCCAGGGAAAAAAACAAAACAAAACAAAACAAAACAAGGGATGGTCACAGATATAGACATAGAGAAGAACAAAGTTGAAAAAAATATTGTTCAGACCTAGAAAACTCCATGGGCCAAGTCCTTGAATTCATGTCACCAAACTGAACAGCTCCACTACCCTGCCAAAAACACCCCAGTTATCTCCTGTTTTCATGCACGTCCTGGTGGAGGGGGCACCTCATATTCAAACTACCACCCACAACAGCCACCTCCCATCTCCTTTCTACAGGCTGTGCCATGATCTCTGCTGTCCTCCTCCTGTGGACTGTGCCCTGTGTGGCAAACCATATCCTGGGGGGCTTTGCCAAGGGAGCTCTGCAGGAAGGTACCCAGCTGGCATGCAGCCTGCCTGGACCCCCCGGGCCACCCGGACCCCCCGGCGCACCCGGGGCTCCAGGGACGGTTGGCAGGATGGGATTCCCAGGCAAAGATGGCAAGGACGGCAAGGATGGGGACAAAGGCGAGCACGGGGATGAAGGTAAGAGAAAAGCGCTTCTTAACACAAGGGTTACTGTTAGTTCACACAATAGTGCAACAGCCTGGTTAACAGCAACCTGTCACCCCAAATCTGAGCCCCAGGACAGACAACAGCTCATTGGAAACTTCTAGAACTTTCCACTCTGTTCTCCAGTATCTCACACTTGTCAGCTCACACTATTTGCTGACTCACATTATTTGCTGACAGCACCTTAATGCTGTATGCAGCAACTATTGGCTTCATTTTGTTATGAAGTGGCATTTTCCCTGTTCTGATACACGCTCACAAGACAAGACAAAGTGGTGGTCTCTGTCTCCTTCTCTCAAGCAGAACAAAGTCAGGTGAAAAAATCAAGCACTTGCTCCCCAGAGCACTCTAGCTGGGTGACAGGCACTGCTCTGACCATGCTGAATCTAAATCAAAGCAGCCAACAACCCTTATTTAACCCAAGGACCTTTTTAATCCAGCCTTACAGTCAGCAAGCATCAGGACCAGCTGTGGTGAGAACATAGTGATTTCCCGTTGCCACACTAGAGTGCACTCCTGATTCAGCATAGCGTCAGCATGACAAAGCTGCATCTTATTCTCTTCTCCAACCCCCAAAACAGAATCTGGAGAACAGGTTTCCACCCACAGCTGCATTTAACTCTCATTGTGCTGCAGCAGCAGCTGAAGAGACAAGGTATAAATCCCCATGAATTTGTCTTATACCAGACCCCACCACAATCAGCAGTTTCAGCATCACTGTGATAGCACAACTCACTTCCCGTCTCAAGGTAGTCCCTGCACTGCATGTCCTCTGGTTCATGCCCCAGATTGCTGGGCTGTTTACTATACCTGGATGTTTTGTTGGTTTTTTTTAAACACCAGATTAATGTGAAATGTAAGAAAATAAATAAATAAATAAGAGACAGAAGATGAAAACATTCCATCTGCTCAAAGCTGGGTTCCAAAAGCTTCGCAAACCTGTCCCACTCCTGAAAAACCCAAACATTTAAAGCTTATTCTTGGCTAGCTCTATAATTAATTACTCCCTTTTCTCAAGTGAGCCAAATAATTAAACCAGCCTTTTGGTCCCTAAAAAGGACAGGTTGTCCTGCTCCCGAGTCCCATTGTTGTCATGCCAGCTACCTACCTAACAATCCCAACAGATGCCTCCCAGGTGGTATTTCACTGGGATTCTCACCAGCAAGGTTTTCCTCCTAAATGAAAATATACTGTTGGAATGACACAACCTTTTTCCACCTGCCACGTCAACTCTTTCACTGAAAGATTTACAAGGCTATTTATCTTCTAGGTCCACAAGGCAGAACGGGAAACCCCGGCAAGCCAGGCCCAAAGGGGAAAGCAGGAGCTATTGGCAAGGCAGGCCCACGAGGGCCTAAGGGTTTAAAGGGTAATCCTGGAAAAAATGGAGCCCCAGGAAAGAAAGGGCCCAAAGGCAACAAGGGCGAGGCTGGGCTGCCAGGACCCTGCACTTGTAATGCCAACAAAGCCAAATCTGCCTTCTCCGTGGCAGTATCAAAGAGCTACCCAAGGGAAAGGCTGCCCATCAAATTTGACAGGATCCTAATGAACGAGGGAGGACATTACAATGCTTCCAGTGGGAAATTTGTATGCAGCATCCCAGGTATTTACTACTTCACTTATGATATCACTTTGGCCAACAAACATTTGGCCATTGGCTTGGTCCACAACGGACAGTACCGGATCAAGACTTTTGATGCCAACACTGGGAACCACGATGTTGCCTCTGGATCAACCATCCTTTCTCTGAAACAGGAGGATGAGGTATGGCTGCAGATATTTTACTCAGAACAAAATGGGCTCTTTTATGATCCCTACTGGACAGACAGCTTATTTACAGGCTTCCTGATATATCCTGATCAAGATTATCTCAATGAAATATAAGATGAGAAACTAACTTGTGGGAAAAAACAGGAAATGCACAAGACCTCAGTCCAGCAAAGTGTAGCCTGTACATGGACATAGATGGAATTATCACGATTCCACATTTCTGGCGCTAACAGCCTGTATTGGCTATTCAGATAGTTACTTGATGTCATTAACTGGTCCACAGGGTACCAGGACCAGCAGGACTCACCCTTCAGCAGCCCCATGAATCTCTCTATCTCAAAGCCACCCAGTGTGTTTTCTCAGATTTCAGACTCCATGTACCAGCACTGGAGTCCTGCAGCTGGTTACTCAGTCATGCCATGGACATGTAAGTCACCTACTGGTGCAGAATGCTTTATTATGTTATTGTTATAAAGCCTGGAAACCAACAACCATTTCCTGAAAGCTGAGCTCAGAAGTGCCACTAATGCTAGAGACTGTATCAGTGCACCTCCTCCCCTACACCCTATAATAGTAATAAACCCTTTTAATACAGAGTTACACTTTACCAGCTACTTAAGAGTCAGGAAGTCGTCAGCTAGAGTTATAAAAGTAAGAGTAGCTCTCAGCCTCATCAAAGCAGCACTGATAAGCAAAGGCATCTGGTCTAAATAGAAATTGACACAAAAGAACTCTCATTTTTAAGGTTAAAGGTAAGACTTCTCCTAAAACACAAGCTGCTGCACTGAGCATCACTGGCGCTTCTCAGATTTCAGCCTCCATGCAACAGCACTGGAGTCCTGTGCCTGGTTTCAGACAGGCTTTGATAAGCCACAATCAGAGTCTAAACTGGACTATGCAAGTCAATTACTCATGGGCTTCTGAGCCACAGTGGAGGATGGACTTTACAGATCAACCCTACTTTTACAAGTAAAAATATCTGCATGATTTTTGTGGACTACAGTAACTGTAGTTACATTAACTGTGTTGTACCTTACAAAAATCTTCCCAAGTACATTTTATAAAATAAAGCTGAACAAAAGTATTGCTGGAATAGTCCTGACGTTTATTAAAGTGGCTTCCCAGAAGGTATTTCGAAACTGTGCTACAGATTCCACAGACACTGTTGGGTTTAAGGATGGATTTTGTAGGGGCTAGAGTGACAGGAGTATTCCCCCCTCAAACCCAGCAAGCTGGGGAATGCACAGGGTGTTCTGCTCTCTGTGCCAGAAACCAGCAAGGTGGAAGAATAAGATCTGTGCATTCCCCTAAAGCTGGTAACCCAGATGGCAGTCTTTTCCCTGACAGCGGTTGCTCAGATAATTTATTTCTTTTTCCAATGTGCTCCCGTTTAGGCTGTCCTGGGCTGCATCTCCAGGCAGCTTCCCAAAGGCAGTAGCAACATACAATACAACTGTATTTCTCTTTCATGCCAAGCCTCCCACTCCCACCCTGACAGTCCAGTTAGGGAAATACCCACCTTTTGGCTGGTCTGAGGTGCACACAGGTCTCTGCCCAAACACGGGTCCCTCAGCAGCTGTACATGTTAGGGGCAGCTCAAGGGAGGTGGTGGGACACATGGGAGGATGTTGCCTCTTTACAGCACCACCCAGCTGTGCTGCACTCAAAGGGAAAATTACACAGTACAGATTTAATTAATCCAGTAGTGCTCACAGCCCACTGCTGCCAAAATACAGAAACCTTGCTTCTGTCCCTGTTCTTCCTCCTTGATTCAGTGCATTACACATTCCCTAACGTGAGTATTTTGGTGGGGGAAATAGGGGTGGGTTTTATTACTACTGTTTGGGTTTTATTTGTATTAAAGTTAGCGCTCCACTGATTTTTGAGCTGAGCCCCTTTGGCACCAGGCAGATACCAGAGCTGGGAGAGCACCACAGGGGATAAGGCTGAGAAGAGGAGGGTGGAGGAGAAGCAGTAGTTAGCAATTAGATCTGCTCAGTCTTCCCTTATCTGCAGGGAGGGCCCCAGCAGGGAGCCTTTTCCTCCCCGAGTCAGCCCTCTCAGAGGGACACAAGCTGGTTTCCCCAGATGAGAAGCAAGAGACTTTATTAACTGTCTGGCAGTGTCCTTTTTATTCTAGTGAAAAGGAAAACCCGTAAATGAGTCTTTTAAGTCTGGTATATCAAAATGCAAGTTATAAAGAACCACAGCACCCTGCTGGGAGCTCAGTGCCACAGCACTTGTTTTCAGTCTGGGCTGCCAGGTCCTTCCACAGGAGCAGCACAGGCTGCTGGCTCCAGCCTCCTCCTGTCCCCAAGGGAACTGTGCCAGCCACCCCCCTGGGTCACAGTGCTGCTGTCTGTGCTGCACAGCTCAAACCCCAGCCCCGGGCACCTGCTGCCCCCAAGCAATGGGAAACTCAACTAATAAAATACAGCAGGCCAGAGGGAGTGGAACAGCTTCTCCATATTATTTCATCTCCCATAGGGCTGAACACATTTGAAGACACATGGTGAGTATTTCTGTGACAGAGGCATGGACATTTGATGTGATATGTGCAGGTTCTTGCACAGGTTCCTCTGAAAAGGATGAATTTCATCTTACAATGCTGTAAGAGCAACTTGAATGCTGAACAAAATGTCTCCACTCAGCCCAATCCTGCAAGAAGATTCATCCCAAGCAGCTGAGGGCTCCTTTCATCCTGTCTCACCCAGGAGAGGAGGGAGGGAAGGGCAGCTGGCTAGCTACGATGTGCCTGGGTCACTGTGTGGCCAATCATTA